GCGCGCGTGTGTGTCTGTGTGTGTTTAAGAGAGAGCGAGCATGCGTCTGTATGCTGTGCATTTCGCCGTTGTTGTTCATTTATTTCCCAGAATCAAGATGTACTGTATTTTTGAACCTGCATATGGTGTGGTCTTAAGTCGTCTGTTTTCTTTCTAGTCGTGTTGTGCTGGTTGATTGATCGGTTGATTGATCGGTCGGTTGGTTGCTCAGTGGTGTTGCGACCATTTTTACACCCCCGCTTGACCTCGTGACCGTTACCAGGAGCTCGTCACTGTAGAAAGCCTTAGGGGAACACTGTGTAGGGGGCGCCGGCTCCCGCCGTCACACCGCGTGTCGTTTTAGGAGGTAAACGTAGAGCGAGAGAATTACTAGAGCCTGTACCTGTCATCATGTTTTACCGGTTGAATTAAAAAAATCCTGGATTTGTGGTATTATTTCAAATTAGAGCAGGGGCAGCCAGATTATTGTAAAAATATAAATATTGTACATAGACATAATAATCTATATGGAGAGGTACTTAAAACACAATGAGGTGTAGTAGCCCCTTTATGCAGCTCTCTCCGCCCACACCCTCTGCGCGTGTGTGTGTGAAGACTGTGTGTGTGTGTGCGTCTCTGTCTGTGTTCATGTGTGCAACAGGGACATTTTATGTCGTTTCAATGTGAATCAAACACTGATTTTAAACAGATTTTTATCCTGAGACGATCAAAGAAGAGACATTTATGTGGAGACTGGAAACACACTGAAGAAGAGAAATTCAGTGGCTGTGCGTTTCGGTGTCCAAAGTCTGAGAAAAAAAATACACCGATTTATCTTTTTTGGATCTAGTTCAGAAAGATTTGCGTCTTTTTATCTTGTGACCTTTCTGGCTAAAAAGAAAATACCACAAATGCAATTTTAGCAGCTTTCTATAAAGTGTCTCATTTAAAGCAAACGTGCGGCAAGTTTTGTAACATGCACATTAAACGTCAGTGATCATCTTAGCTGTCAACCAGTCCTTCAGTTACCTTCCTGAATTACTTGCAGTCCCTATAGCACCCAAAGCATGTCAAGCAAAGTGCACTGTGTGAATATCAAAGAAATGTTATTATTATCGTTATTTAAAGGGAGTTTAAGGGAAAACTGTGCATCACATGTCAAAGACAACAGCATCAAGGTGTTGCTGCAGCAATTTTACATTTACTACCTTCTGACCAGCAAGACTCAAAGGAAACATTCATTGTCTGTAATATTATTATTATTATTTTCAAACTGACCAAATTTGTATGGGACACAAAAAATATGCCAAAACAAATAAACGAATAAATAAAATGTGAGATTTAATACAGCGAAAAGAAATGTTGTATAAAAGCATTTTATGAAATGTTTTAATTTTCAAAAACCTCAAAAATAAATTATTAATATGCAGAAAAGCAAGACAAAACATAGAAATGATAAATAAAGTGGGAGCGTGGGAACGTAAATTTATTGAAGAATTCAAACAGAAATTGAATATGCAGGTGAATAAACATAGAAACACGTTTATGACGATGTAATAAAGACAATAAAT